GACGGCGGCTCGCGAAGCTCTTCGAGTTCGGCGAGAGGGAGCTCAGCCTGCAGTGAGACCGCGCTCAGGTGGACTTGGGATTGCTCGATGGCCATCGGCGTCGCCTGTTCCAGACCCGCCGTGCCGGCCCGTTTCGCGACGTCCTGGCGGGGGTCCGCGCGCCCCTGGACGTGGATCGCGGAGGTCCGACGCGACCGTCGAGCGGCGCGAGGCAGCGGGCGCGGTCCCGCAGGAGAGGGCGAAGCTGTCGTCCGCCCAGCAAGCCGCGGCGACCCGCGCAATTGAGTGGATCAAGTCTCAGGTGGGCGAGTTCTCCGGCACCACCCCGAGCGGGCGCGGCGCCGGCAGACGCAGCGGCTTCTCCGGCAGCTCCACTGCGGCACGCGCGGCGCCCTCGACAGCGCGGGCCGCCAGGGCGTTGGGGGCGTCGGCTGGGGCGCGTCGATCAGCCCAGCAGCCGACCTCTCGCAAGAATCGGCCATCAAGAGCATCGCGCTCGACTTGGACGGGGCCCAGGGCTGCCTCAAGTGGAACGGCGTCTTCGTGGCCCTTTGGGTCGGGGTCGCCAGCTTGACCCAGGCCCGAACTCGGGGCCGCCCCCATCTGCCGCGCCTTCGGGATCATGGCGAGCACCTCCCAGGCCGCCCACTTCGCGGGCGCGCGCGCGCGATGAGGGGGCTGTTCTGTGAGAAACCGCATGGTGGAGCTCTTGGCGGAGTAGTTGCGCGGGCCGTGGCCAAAGGCAGTTTCCGCTGCGATTGAGGGCCCTTTCGACGTCCAGGCTCTGGCTTTACCCCGCGCTTCCAGACTTGAAACTCGATGTTCCTGACCAAGATTTCTTGCCGATTCAACGCGCCTGCGGCACTCCTTGCTAGCGAGCCCGCGAGGCCGCTCGTCCGACGGAGGCTGGCGGCCAATGAGATGAGCAGATGTTGCCCAGGTCCCCGAGGGCCGCGCAGTTTCTCGCAGCGCCGCCGGGCGCGTTTCACCGGCGAGTCTCGGGGGGCTGGCGTTTCAAGGAAGCCGCGCAGCATCCGAGGTGTCTACGCGGCCCCCCCCCGCTGCCTTGTGCATCACCATCGGGGGGGGGAACCTGTTAGTCGTGGCCATTCTCTTTTTGTTTTCTGGACATTATGCCGCCGGGTTCGGGGGGCGTAGAATTGCACCTTTATTTTCGCACTGCTTGTTGACTTGACTGTGGAGGGCCGCTGGCAATTTTCGGCCGGGCCGCGAGCCTCGCCGCGCCGAGAACTGCAGCCGGTAGACAATGCGTCTATCTTCCGGCCGGGAGTGAAATAAGCATGACCAGACAAGCACCAATGGCTTCATCGTGATAGCCGCAATTTTGATTTGTTTTCTGGAAGCAGTTCGGATAAGGTCTTTTCGGTGCCCGCCGTCCATCCCCGGCCCCGCCGTCTTGGGAGGCGTGGGTCTGCGTTAACATTCTCGCATTGCGCGTTGATTTCGCCGTTGAAAGCCGCCGGCAATGTCCAGGCCAGCCGCGAGCCCCGCCCCGCCGGCAGCTGCCACTCTTCAATGGACCACGCTTTAGAGTTCAGGCGTAGAGCGAAATCGGCACATTCATAGATTTACGCACACTCGCAATATATATATATATATATATATATATATATTATATATATATATATATATATATATCCCTGGGGGCGAGGCCGAGGGCCCCAGGACAGGTGCCCCTATCCCCCATGGGGGGACCGGGGCTCATTTTCCGTATGTTTTTACAGGGTTTCCGCGTCCTGGGCCTCGGAGGCCGCCGCCTCCGACCTTCCATGGGAGGACGGGGCGGCCAGGGAGGTCCAAAATAGTCCGAGAGGGCCTCCAGAGGCCCCCAAGACGGCCCAAGCGGGCACCGAGCCGCCGAAAGACCGCTCCAGGACGCCCAAGATAGGCCCAAGACGGCCCGAGAGGCCCCCCAAGGCACTCCACGACGCTTCAAGACGCCTCTCCAGAGCGCTTCCAGAGGCCGAAATCGTCAATTGCACGAAGGTTTTCGAACGATTTTGGCCTTCCAGCCTTTTCGGCTGTCCGACGTTCCAAGACGGCTCAATAGGCTCCCAAGAGCGCCCCAAGACGGCCCAAGAGGGCCCCAAGACGGCCCCAGAGTCGCCCAAGACAGCCCAACAGAGCCCCAAGACGGCCCCAAGATGCGCCCAAGAGGGGGACCACGACTCCAAAATTCGACCCTCCCGCTTGAAGAGTGCCCCAGGAGGCCCCAAGGAGCCCCCAAGAGGCCCCAGGAGGCCCCCAAGAGGCACCCAGGAGGCCCAAACGAGGCCTAAAGAGGCCACAAGACAGCCCCGAGGAGGCCCCACAACGGTCCCAAAACGGCTACCGAGAAGCTGCGAAATTGCCTTCACGACGTCCCCGACAGGCCAACCACGAGATCCAAACCAACACCCATGAGGCCTCTGACCCACCACCCAGGGCACGGTGGCGGGAGCAGTGACAGCACTTGTGCACAGCATGTTCCGGCGGGAGCCTTCCGGAACACGCTGCAGGAGGAGGAGGAGGAGGATCAGGAGGAGAGAGAGTTGGAGTGGGAGGAGGAGGATGGGGACGAGGAGGAGGAAGAGGCCTCCCAGACAGCTCCAAGATAGCCGAAGAGGCTTCCAAGAGGGCCCTGGGCGGCCCACGAGGGTCCCAAGGCGGTGCCTGAGGCGCCCAAGACGTCCCGAGAGGGCCCCAAGACGGCCCCAAGAGAGGCCCAAGAAGGGAAACACGAACCGAGAATCCGAGCTTTCTACCCCGAGAGGTTCTCGGGAAGTCCCAAGAGGCCCCCAATCGGATCCAAGAGGCCCCCAAGAAGCTCCCAAGAGGGCCGACGAGGTTCCAAGAGATCTCCCAAGGTGGCCCCAAGAGGCACAACTCATTGTTTTACGATTGGGCTTTGACGGGTTTTAATTTTTTTCGGCCTTTTGGCATCCCGATGCTCCAAGACGGCCCAAGAGGCTTCCAATACCGCTCCCATATAGAGGAAGAGGCCTCCAAGAGGGCCCCAAGACGGCCCGCGAGGGCCCCAAGACGGTGCTTGAGGCGCCCAAGACGGCCCGAGAGGGCCCCAAGAGAGGCCCAAGAAGGGGAACGCGACCCAACAGCAGAGCGGTCCCCCCAAAAGGCCCACAGGAGGCCGCAAGAGGCCCCCAAGTGGTCCGACGAGGACCCCAAAAGCTTCCCGAGAGCCTAAAAGGCCCCTAGGAGACGTCCAAGAGGCTTTAAAATAGCCCAAGAGTGCCCTCGATGCGTCAAAACTGCTTCCAGGAGGCCCCCGGGAGGCTTCCGGATTGCCTCAATCTGGCCGCAGGTGGCCTCAAGTCGGGCTTCCACGCAGCCAAGACGGCCAATGAAAGCTTCAGATTGCAGAACCGATGCCCCCAAGGGACCCTCAGACGCCCCCCCAAGAAGCACCCAAGAGGTGCCTCCATCAGCCAGTTGACGAAGCATGCGGAACACCCCAGAAGCTCCTCAGATGCCGTCGCGCGCCTGTGCTTGATATCGTTGTCCAAGATCGTCCAGCGCCCCCCTGGCCTGGGCTAGAACCTGAGCGCGCGCGAAGCGCGCGCGATGGTTCTAGCCCAGGGGCCCGAAAACAGCTGCCCGACCCTCCAGTACCGGGGCTCATTTTCGCTGTGCTTTTACGCGGTTTCGGCGTCCCGGGCCTCGAAGGCCGCCGCGATGCTCCCGGACATTTTCCAGATCCTCGGCGCGGGCTCCAAGACCATTCCGCAGAGGGCTCCAACAGGCTCCAGGGCAGCCCAAGAGGGCTCCAAGACGGCTCCAGGAACGACTGCAGGGTCTCAGTTTTTCTGTGTTTTTGCAAGACGGCTCCAGGAAGACTGCATGTCTTATGAGGATGGCTTCCGCCTCTTGCCCCGAGCATCCCAAACTGCCTGAACGGTCCCCACTCGCCTTCCCCAAACCCAGCGCTTGCCCAAGCGCGTTCCGGACGGTCTTCGCAGGAACGCGCTGGAATGATCACGCGCTGCGGTTTCCCATGCCAACGTCCTCGGACGTGGGCGCCCTGCCACGAGCGCGTTCCGGGAAGATGCTCCCGGAACGCGCTGAAAAGATATGGCCACATCTCGGGGACGCTCCCGGCACCGCTGCCCCAGCCTTTCCGGCAGCCTCCACAGCGCTCCAGGAGGGCCCAAGACGCCCCCCAGGAGCCCCCAGAATGCGAAAGGATGGCCCAAGACGCTCCCGAGCAGCCCAAGTCAGCCTTCCGACGGCTCTCGAGGCTTCCAGGTGGCCTCCAAGAGACCCCAAGAAGTCTGATAGGTATCACGGTACGGCCCGAAGAGGCCAAAGCCGTATATGTTCAATGGTTTTTTCAATGTTTTTGGCTTCTCGCGTTTTCGAGCTTCCAACGGTCCAAGAGCGCCGAAGAGCCGCCATGGGGGTACCGGGGCTCATTTTCCGTATGTTTTTACAGGGTTTCCGCGTCCTGGGCCTCTGAGGCCGCCGCCTCCGACCCCCCATGAGAGGACGGGGCGGCCGGGGAGGTCCAAAATAGTCCAGGAGGGCCTCCAGAGGCTCCCAAGATGGCCCAAGCGGGCCCCGAGTCGCCGAAAGACCGCTCCAGGACGCCCAAGATAGGCCCAAGACGGCCCGAGAGGCCCCCCAAGGCACTCCACGACGCTTCAAGACGCCTCTCCAGAGCGCTTCCAGAGGCCGAAATCGTCAATTGTACGAAGGTTTTCGAACGATTTTGGCCTGCCAGCCTTTTCGGCTGTCCGACGTTCCAAGACGGCTCAATAGGCCCCCAAGGGCGCCCCAAGACGGCCCAAGAGGGCCCCAAGACGGCCCCAGAGTCGCCCAAGACAGCCCAACAGAGCCCCAAGACGGCCCCAAGATGCGCCCAAGAGGGGGACCACGACTCCAAAATTCGACCCTCCCGCTTGAAGAGTGCCCCAGGAGGCCCCAAGGAGCCCCCAAGAGGCCCCAGGAGGCCCCCAAGAGGCACCCAGGAGGCCCAAACGAGGCTTAAAGAGGCTACAAAACAGCCCCGAGGAGGCCCCACAACGGTCCCAAAACGGCTACCGAGAAGCTGCGAAACTGCCTTCACGACGTCCCCGACAGGCCAACCACGAGATCCACATCAACACCCATGAGGCCTCTGACCCACCACCCAGGGCACGGTGGCGGGAGCAGTGACAGCACTTGTGCACAGCATGTTCTGGCGGGAGCCTTCCGGAACACGCTGCAGGAGGAGGAGGAGGAGGAAAATCAGGAGGAGAGAGAGTTGGAGTGGGAGGAGGAGGAGGAGGAGGAGGAGGAGCGGGACGAGGAGGAGGAAGAGGCCTCCCAGACAGCTCCAAGATAGCCGAAGAGGCTTCCAAGAGGGCCCTGCGCGGCCCACGAGGGCCCCAAGGCGGTGCCTGAGGCGCCCAAGACGGCCCGAGAGGGCCCCAAGACGGCCCCAAGAGAGGCCCAAGAAGGGAAACACGAACCGAGAATCCGAGCTTTCTACCCCGAGAGGTTCTCGGGAAGTCCCAAGAGGCCCCCAATCGGATCCAAGAGGCCCCCAAGAAGCTCCCAAGAGGGCCGACGAGGTTCCAAGA